ATTTGCAGCATTTTTTTTTTTTTTGATACAATCCTCCAAAAATTATATTTGTTGAAACATTTTGACCTACTTTTGAATCATTTAAAATTAACTTTAAAAAATGTAATCAGATAATTTCCTGTTTTAATATTAAATTCGGAATGTAATTTTCTTAGAATATCAGGCATGTCACAGAATGTAAAATCGTTCAAGAGTGAAAACGAAAACGGTTTTAGCTTCTCTAAAAAACGGAAAACGCAAAAATTTTGCGTTTTGATATCACTTTCAAAAAGCGGGGTGAAATTGAAATGTTTAGTGATTTTAACGTAAAAAATAAACAGAAGACACATACATTTAACAGAAAATATTGTATTAACCAAATTCTCTTAGAATGAACATGTTTTTGGAATTTATTTTACAAAAAATTTTTCTAATCCATGATGAAAAATAATAAAAAGGACTTGCGAGGAACTGGTGGTGGTGATATCAATCAATATGTTTTCAGTGAACACGAGAACAGTTTAATCAGAATTTGCGGATTGTATAAAAGTGTCGATGGAGTTGGTGGTGCAGTAAGCTTTGCGGATTTTGTAAGTGAATTAGACCTCAGTTGTTCTGAAAAAGAAAACTTTGATTCGTCATCATCTACACATATTCCAAGAACTCGAAAATCAAGTCAATTAGTTTTAAGTGAATCTGAAAACGAAGAGCTTAATTTTTCACCCTCAACTTCAAAGCAGACCACTTCGATTTTAAATAAAAAAGATAGACCAAGATCATGCATTCCAGCTGCTTTTAAAAATGTTTCTACATTGGCAATTGATCCAAGAACACCAACATTGGAAGAAAACCGTTCGCGAACACCTATTCAAAAACGACTTAGAAATAAAAGCTTATCGTGTTCTCCGCCATCTACACCAATAAGACAAGTGTCGGGCAGCCTAACAAAAGCAAAACCCACGCCTGCAGTAAAAAGACCCCGGGCAAGAACTCCCTCAAAGCAAGATCTAAATGCGCTTTTAGTTGAGGAAAATTCTCATTTACAAAACTTGGAAAAAATTTGTAAAATTCTAGAAGGTAACAGTAAGGAAATGAAAAAACAAACTGAAAAGTTGGACAGACTTTGTAACATCCTGGAAAAAAGTATGTGGAAGAGCAGTTACATAATATTGAAATGCAAAAGAGAATGCGTGAACGGAACGAAATGAAAGTCAAAATAGTTGAACTTGAAACTCTTAAATAAGCTGTAGAACAGGAAAAAGCAAATACGACTCGTTCTTAACTTTACATTATTTTACACAATGGACTAAAAATGGTGGATCCTTACTCTGCATTTGAGTGAGATAAAGGATCTGATGCGTTCCTCAATGTCCGGCGACGAATTTTTTCAGTAGACCGCTGATTTATTCATTACATCATCATTTACAGCAAGTATTGAAGCCCCTGGCATTTTTACTTTTGGTGTTTATATTATAAAAAACAATTCAAACTCCTTTTTTAATTGTCAATAATTTGTTTACGATTTTTTTTTTTTTCATGGAGTTACCATATTTTTATTTCAAAAATGTGAAATGATTTTTTTTCCGGATTAGTCAAAACGTTCGAGTGCTGAAGAAGCAAAAGCAAATCGTAACGATTTGGATAAGGTGAAATAAATCGATTTCGTAAAACTTCTGTGACATGCCTGTATATTTAGTTTATTCTGAGACCAACAATGAAATTGGATCTAGAATATTTCTTCCCTTGACACCTTCCCTAAAAACTGAAATATTCAGGCATGTCACAGAATGTAAAATCGTTCAAGAGTGAAAACGAAAACGGTTTTAGCTTCTCTAAAAAACGGAAAACGCAAAAATTTTGCGTTTTGATATCACTTTCAAAAAGCAGGGTGAAAATGAAATGTTTAGTGATTTTAACGTAAAAAATAAACAGAAGACACATACATTTAACAGAAAATATTGTATTAACCAAATTCTCTTAGAATGAACATGTTTTTGGAATTTATTTTACAAAAAATCTATTATTTTTCTAATCCATGAATTCGGAAGGTTTAACCATTCTAACGTGAGTTCCGTCAATGCATCCTACAATTCCTGGAATTTCATAATTTTCAAAAAAGTACAATTTCGACTTTCTTTTTTCTTCGGAAGACATTCTTAATTTGATCCAATGTGGACAAATTTCAGCTTCAATTGCATTAATAACTCTCCACATAATTGTAGAAACTGTACTTCTCCCAAGGCTTAGCTCCACATCTCTACCTATAACTCCTTGAAATGCACCCGTAGCGTTGTTGCAAGCTGGATAATAGCCGGTATATTGGAACGTTTTAGGTGGGGAAAAATTTTTCCCAATCTAAAACAAAAGCTTCTTTATTTAGCCGATAATAAGTTATAAATCTATAGAAATAAATTATTATTAAAATAAATTTGAAAATAACTCATTGCTGGTGGATCCTTATTCTGCATTTGAGTGAGATAAAGAATCTGATGCGTTCCTCAATGTCCGGCGACGAATTTTTTCAGTAGACCGCTGATTTATTTCTTCATCCATTACAGCAAGTATTGAAGACCCTGGCATTTTTACTTTTGGTGTTTATATTATAAAAAACAATTTAAACTCCTTTTTTAATTGTCAATAATTTGTTTACGACGTTTTTTTCATGGAGTTACCATATTTTTATTTCAAAAATGTGAAATGATTTTTTTTCCGGATTAGTCAAAACGTACGAGTGCTGAAGAAGCAAAAGCAAATCGTAACGATTTGGAAAGGGTGAAATAAATCGATTTCGTAAAACTTCTGTGACATGCCTGATTATAGGAGATTTTGATCGCATTAAATTAACAGACAGAAACGTAATCACAAAATTTCCAACTTTAATATAAATTTCAAATGAAATTTTTTCGAAAACTATCATACCTACAAATATAGTTTATTCTGTGACTCGCATTGAATTTTGTTCTAGAATATTTCTTACTTCTACACTTTCCCCAAAATCTGAAGTATTAACGGAGATTTTGAATTAAATCGGAAACGTATTACATTAACAGTCATAAACGTAAATATATAATTTCCACTTTTAATGAATACATTTCCAATATGATTATCTCAAAAACTATTATACCTAGATATATAGTTTATTCAGAGACTTATAGTGAAATTTGGTCAAGAATATTTCTTCCTTTCACATCATTCTCAAAAAATTATCTATTAAGGGAGATTTTGACTCAAATTGGAAACGAATTAAACCAACCGACTAAAATGTCAGCAAAAAATTTCCGGCAGTAACATAAATTTCAAATGAAATTTCCTCGAAAACTATCATACCTAGGCATATAGTTTATTCTGGAACTCACAATGAAATTTGATGTAGAATATTTATTCCGTTGACACCTTCCCCAAAATCTGAAGTCTTAAGGGAGATTTTGAGTCAAAACGTATTACATTAACAGTCATAAACGTAAATATATAATTTCCACTTTAAATGTATAAATTTAGAATATGATTATATCAGAAACTATTATACCTAGTTATATATTTTATTTTGAGACTTATTGTGAAATTTGGTCAAGAATATTTCTTCCTTCCAAATCATCCTCAAAAAATTAATTTTTAAGGAGATTTTGACTGAAATGGAAATGTCTGTTAGACAAAATGTCAACACAAAATTTCCAGCTGTAAATTAGAAATTTCAAATGTAATTTTCTTAAAAACAATTAAACCTGGATATATGGTTTATTCTAAGACTCACAATGAAATTCGATCTAGAATATTTCCTACTTTGACACTTTCCTCAAAAAATCAAAAATTAGGGAAGATTTTGGCACAAATTAAAAACGCCAAAAAATTAACAGTCAAATGGTAAAAATACAATTTCTTTTTTTTAATACATAAGTTTTGAATGTAATTTTATTAGAAATGATTGTGCCTAGATATATAGTTTATTCTAAGACTCACAATGAAATTCGATCTAGAATATTTCTTCCTTTGATACTTTCGTCAAAAAATCAAAAATTATTGAAGATTTTTGCTTCAAACTTGAAACGTAATTGGAAACAACACAACAATATCTGTAAAAATTCCATATCATAGTTTCCCAATAGATTAGCATAGATTTTGTGTATAAATGGCCTGCAAGAACCTCTGCGTCTATTTCTATTTCCAGTAGGGACAGTTTTTTTTGAGCTCAGTAATCGACGAGATCGAAACCATACATTAAAATTGGTTTCGTCTGATCTTAGCATCTTAATTTCAAAGGTTTTTTTTTCAAAGTTATTTCATTTGTCGATGTCACAGTAAAGTGATGTTTTTACACAATTCTTCTTGTCCAACTTGGCAAATTGAGAGCCACGTCGTGTGACCTGTCTGTCCATTTAACATTTTCAATGCCCGCAATGCCCGCAATGCATAAAAAGATTTCTGCTTGCAAAATGATATAGCTGTAATTTTGACAGTATGGTTGAGGTTGAGGATTAACTCAGTATCATAGTTGATGTTTAAAACCTCTCAGTTCGCCCCAGCACTTGCTCCCTCATCCATCTTTCAGCTGTCTATAAAGGAGGTAAGACTGTTCGGAATTGATGTACCCTTCAACCAAACTTTTCCTTTTTAATACAAGCCTTTTTAAAAAGTCACTACCAATTTAGAATGGTACGTTTGCATTTGACGCTTTTTCCATTTAAGAATATTATTCATCAATGATTTAGTTGTCCATAAAGGTGGTGGTAAGGCTGTCCGGAATTGACCTACCCTTTCACCAAACACTTCTTACGGATTTAGTAATGTAATCACTTTTTAAAGTGGCTTTACCAATTTAGTTGAAGTTGCTTTGGGGTTTTCAATTTAGGAAATTGTTTATGGTGAAATATATAATTCAACTTCCAAATTCTCAGAGCCAATGGGAACTCAAAATATATTTTTTCTAGCTAAAGAAAACCAATCTAACTTAAATGCCAATTAACAAAAAAAAAAAAAAAACAAACAAACAAAAATAAAAAAAGAAAAAATGAAACAAAATAATATTCACATTTTTTGTTCGTTTGTAGAAATTATTATTATTTTGTTTTTCAATTTCCAACACAGTGGGTAGGGAGAGAATGGAGGTTGATGACATTCCATCAACACCTGCAGCAAAGCCCTCCCTCCCTCCCTCATATCTGTGTCTTACTTTTTACAAAAAAAATCAAAAGACATTGAACTAAAATAATGATACTTAAAAAATAGACGAAAAGAAAAATAAAAATAATTAATTTATTAATTAGGTTAATTTATATATATATAGCAAATTAAAAAAAAAAATAATAATAATAATAATAATAATAATATTAATTAAAAACTATTGCATTCAAATTTAATTTAAATGCTTTCAATAAAAAAATGGTTAATTAAACTAAAACAAATGATGATTATAGAATAGTAATAATAATAATAATAGATGGTAAATATATAGATAATAGTTACAATTTGTTTTATACATATATATAATATGTTTATGTGTATATAGTGGGTGTATGGTTGTGGTGGAGGTGGGTGGCACAGCCACTTTCATTTTTTCTTTTTTTTGTTTGTTTATACATTCATTAGTTATATAAATATAGAGTTAAATTATTATTATTATTTATACCCACAGTTTTGCAATCTGTGTGTGTATAAAGCGTGTTTGTTTCAATTTTTTAGTTTTTGTTTTTTAATTACATTGAAGTTTTTAAGAAGTGGTGTTTTGAACTAATTTTTAAAATTAAAAAAATAATAATTTAAATTAAATTAAACAAAGAAAGTATTTTTTTTTAAATATTTGTTAAGATTCAATCTCTCCTGTTCAGTTGGTTTGTTTTCGTTTTCTTTTTTTTTTTCACTTAACATAAAACCCAATTTCGCTTCGTTTTCTTTCAAAACAATTACAAGGGCATGGGAAGGGGACTTTCCCCGCCCAACAAATTTCCTTCACAATTTTGTACAAAGTTTAGTTTTGTTTTTTTTTTTGTTTAGACTTAATGAGAATATTTTGTTTATAAATATTTTTTCTTTTATATCAAAAATATAAATATGTATAATAATTACAACAAAACAAAGAAAAAGAAATATGAAACACATAAATGCCGCATAAATCGTATTTTTATGCAGTCCAACAGACGACAAGTTGCAGAGGAAGAAGAATTAGAAGTAAAATTTAATTTAAAAAAAAAAATACAAATAAAAATAATTATGAAAACAATGAATGTGTATCTTAAACTACTATTATAGCATTAGCTTTATGGGGAGCGGCGATCAGACATTTCCAGACATGTTTTCCCCCCTTCGTGTATCAAAAAAACCAAAAAATTCATTTTCTAAATTGTCTAGCCTTAAGTCCAGGGGGAAATTCGAGTAGTAGGAAAAATATTTGTTTGTTTGCTTGTGTTGATGTGTTGGCTTGTCACCACAACAACAATTTACAAATACCAAAAAAACAATGCCATTTCAATTGTTTTCCAAAACATCGTTGGGTATTTTGCATAAAAAATTCAAGGCAACGATGTTAAGTTGATGGCTTCCAAAAAAATATGATTTCTTTTTCGATGATTTTTTCGCATCGAAATATTTGGCAGTATTCATCATGTTCACTCAAAAAAACATATGCGTGTGTGTGTATGCATGTACATGTGTGCCTGCCAGCCAAAAATGTAATATATCTTTTACAACAAAATTAGTTTCTCTTTTCGTTTCATTTTTTTTTAGTTTGGTTTCCAAATAGAATGTGCAAAAAAATTTGTCTATTTCGATTCGTCTTGATCCATGGGCTCTTCGGAATCATCACAAGAACGAGTTCTGAAATTCAGAAAAAGAAGAACAAAATAGATTAGTATACAAATTGATCTCTTATAAATATTTCGATATTCTTACTTATTTAAAGTTTGCATAGATAAACTGGCCATGGCCGTAACCGTATCGGAGGCATCATGTTCAATTTTTAAAGCTTCCAGGGCCGACATGCCCACCGTGTGGGCATAACGTCTAACACAGGGCCAATGTTGTAACTGAAATGATATAAACAAAAAAAAATACAATTAAAAAACAGCAACACAACACAAAAAAATAATTGACGGGAGAACTCGTATTAAGAGTTTATGAAAAAATCTCCTATAAAACATCATTTTAGACGGATGCCACCAAAGACAAAATTATTCTTCATAAAATTTCACTATAAGTCACAGAAGAAATTAAATCTCTATTGTCCTTATTTATATATCATCAATAATAATAAAGGAATAATATTTGTTTCAACAAAATAATTGGAGAAAAATCTCGAACTTCATATAAGTTCATGCTAAATTCTCCCAAAAAACAGCATTTCAGACGGATGCCATTAAAGACAAAAATATTCTTCATCAAATTTCACTATAAGTCACCGAAGAAATTAAATCTCTATTTCCATTATATATCAAGGAAATTTGCAAAAAAAAATTTCCTTTTTTTGATGATTTTTTTTTCTCGGCCTTTTCTTGAGTTGATGCATGAAAGTAACATAAAATTTAATTTTTGGCAAAAAGTGCCAAAGGAAGAAGTATTCTACACAAAATTTCACTATAAGTCACCGAACAAATTAAATCTCTATTTCTATTATATATCAAGAAATTATTTGTTTCAAATTTGGAAAAAAAAAACCGAAAATATTTTCTACTTTTTTGATGCATTTTTTCTCGGCCTTTTCTTGAGTTGATGCATGAAAGTAACATTAAACTTGGTTTTACGCAGAAAGTGTCAAAGGGAGAAGTATTCTACACCAAATTTCACTATAAGTCACCAAAGGAAATAAATCTCTATATCCATTACATATTCAGAAAATAATTGTTTCAATTTTTTCAAAAAAAACAGCGAAAATATTTTTTTAACGAATTTTTCTGGGCTTTTTTCGAGTTTATGCATGAAAGTAACATCAAACTCTATTTTAGACAGCAAGTGCCGAAGGAGGGAATATTCTACACCAAATTTCACCATAAGTCTTAAAATAAATCAGACATCTACGTATAATCGTTTTTAAGAAAATTAAATTCGAAATATATATATTACCAGCGAAAAGAGGGTATTTGCGTTTTTTACTTCTGATATAACAGGTTTTCATTCAAAGTCAAAATCTCCCTCAATGCTTCACTTTTTGGGAAAAGTGTTAAAGGAAGATATATTCTATATCAAATTTCATTGTGATTCTCAGAAATAACTATATATCTAAGTATAGTAGTTTTTAAGAAAATTACATTTCAAATTTATGTATTAAAAAAGAAAACTATGTATTTATCTCTTTAAATGTTATTTTGTTACGTTTCTAATCTGAGCCAAAATCTTCCCTATTACTTGATTTTTTGGATAAAGCGTTAAAGAAAGAAATATTCCAGATCGAAATTCATTGTGAGCCCCTGAATAAACTGTATCTCTGGGTATGATAGTTTTTAAGAAAATCACATTCGAAATTTATGTATTAAAACAGGAAATTATAAGTTTATGTTTGTATCCGTTAATTTTTTACGTTTTTAATCTGAGCCAAAATCTCCGCCTCAATACTTCATTTTTTGGAAAAAGTGATAAAGAGAGAGATATTCTAGATCGAATTTCATTGTGGTTCTAGGAATAAATTATATATCTGGGTATGATAGTTTTTAAGAAAATTGAATATCAAATTTATATTTTAAAAGTGGAAATTATATTTTTTTTCTTTTTTGAATATTTTTTTTAACGTTTCTAATCTGAGTCCAAATCTTTCTAATACTTGATTTTATTTAGGGAAAGTAGCAAAGGAAGATATATTCTACACAAAATTTCACTATTAGTTTCAAAATAAACCATACATTTAGCTATAATAGTTTGCAAGAAAATTTGAGTCGAAATTTAGATATTGAAAGTGGGAATAGTTTTTTTTACTGCTTATTTAACAGGTTTCCATTCAAAGGCAAATTCTCCCTTTAAAATTCATTTTTTGAGCAAGGATGAAATATTCTAGATCAAATTTCATTATGAGTCTCTGAACAAAAGAAATGTGTACACTTAATGTATATCATTAAAAAAATGAAATCAATTTTGGTTTAAAAAAAACTTTTTTAAAAAATAATTGAAATCATGATTTACCCTTATGTAGAACCTGTAGCAAAAGGGTATGCGGTCTTATTTTTAAAGCAATTATTCTTGAAGTAATCCAGGCCCCTCTATAAAATTTCAAAGCCTTATATTTTAAAATTCGCAAAATACAGCAAAAAAAAAAAGGTTTTATATAAATGGCACTCAACGAAGTTTGCCCTCAGAGACCAAAATCCGTTTGGGGTTCTGATCTACAAACCGAATACTATAAAATCCACTTAAAATATCCCCCATCACAAATTGACTATTACGCAGTGAAAATTAAAAAAATTGAATCAAAATTCGGAAAATTGCTAAATTTGTCGAAAATGAAAAAAAAAGTTTTTTTTTGTAAATCAAAATTGATGGTATCTTTTTTATGGTACACGTTATGTTTATATAATTCTTTCAGGGACTCATAATGAAATTTGAAGTAGAATATTTCTCCCTTTGATACCATCACCAAAAATTAGGTATTATCGAAGATTTTGGTTCGGATTAACGAACGTATACATAAAAAAATGAACATAGAAACATAATTTTCACTTTTAATATAAACACTTTAAATGTACTTTTCTTAAAACCTATTATACCTAGGTATATGGTTTATTTTGGGACTTATAGTGAAATTCTGTTTAGAACATTTCCTCTTTTGACACTTTTTGTCTAGAGCAAAGTTTTATTTTACTTTAATGCCTCAACTCAAAAAAGGCCAAAGAAAAATCTATGAAAAAAAAGAATGTAATTTCGTGTTGTTATTTTTTGCAAAATTGAAACAATTATATTCCTGATATATAATAGAAATAGAGCTTACTTTTCTTTGATGACTTATAGTAAAATTTGATGGCGAACATTTTTGTCTTTGACACCAACCTTCTAAAATGATACTTTGTAGGAGAATTTTGCATAAACTCATATGAAGTGCGATTTTAACCTTAAAATGGGTTTTTAATTTATATGATTTCCTGGCGTTTAGATAAGATTTGGACTTTTGATGGCTTCCGGAGCCCATAGTAAAATTTCATGACGAACAATTTTGTAGAATATTTGGACTTGTTACGTTGCCGTTTAAAGGGAGATTTTAACCATATTTTGAAAAAAGGACCAAAAAGGCCACTTTGCTGACTCGCTTGAGGGTTAAAAATGTCTACCAAAATAATCCTCGTATTGTTGTCAGTAATACTGCCGAAGACACTATATATCTAAAATGCACGGATTCCGAGAAATATTAATCTGAAAATTAAAAAAAAATATATGGAAGAAGGAAGAACTTGCCACGACAATTTAGGTTACTTTGAGATATAAACTTCCAATGCGTCAATGTATGTCCTTTCTATGCTTAGCTCTGCTTTCATAATCTGCTACATTTTTCTTGTGTTTTCTGTGCTGCACAGTGTTTTTTTGTGGGATATTTGGACTTGTTACGTTGCCATTTAAAAGGAGTTTTTAACCTTACTTTGAAAAAAGGGTCAAAAAGACAACTTTGGTCACTCGCTAGAGGGTTAACATTTCCTACCAAAATAATCCTCGCATTGTTATCAGTAATATTGCCAAAGACACTATAGACCTAAAATTCACGGATTCCGAGGAATCTTAATCTTAAAATTTCAAAAAAAAAAAAAAAAAAAATGAAGAAGAAGGGGGATCCTCACAGGCCAATTTAGGTTACTTTGCGATGTAAACTTCCAAAGGGTCGATGTATGTCTCTTCTATTTTTAGCTCTGCTTTCATAATCTGCTAAATTTTTGTCGTGTTTTCTGTGCTGCACAGTGTTTAAGTTCAGCATGTCCCTGAGAAAATATTTTTTTTTTACAAAATCCCCGATGCTAAGACAGGAAGTCCTCGAAAAACCTACATCTTCTTCTTCTTCTTCAAAAAAAAAAAAAAAAAAAAAAAATCCCAACATTTTCCGTACACTCACCTGTATGGCTATGGTCTTTTGCAGCGTATCGATGGCATTCTGACATGGCTGCCGATTCAATTCACTCTCCGCTATCGGTGATAGGGGATCACCCAACAATGCTCGAACACACTCCTGGGCTGAATCACATATCGCTGGCAGATCGTAGCCACCTTCCAGAGCCAATACCACTTTACCCTTGGCCAATTGCATTAGTTCGCGTGTCATGTAACCAAAACAGGCGGGCGATACCAAATAGCCACCCAATGGGGCTGGATGACCGGCGGCGGCATCAAAGCCGGCTGAGACCAAAACAAGATCAGGATTAAAATATCGTGCTATGGGCATCACAATTGTACGGAATGCAGCAATGTATTCGGCATCGCCCAGGGGCGGATTGAGGGCGCCGGACCAGGAAATGTTGACGTTGTAGCCGAGGCCGGGACCGGTGCCGCACTGGAAGGGGGGAAAGAAATTAATTTTAAGTTTATTTTTTTTTTTAAAGAAAATATTTTGTTTTTTTGTTTTTGGCTTACCTCTGTGGGACCACCAGTACCGGGAAAAAAGTTGCCATCATCATGGCGATGTATTGACAAATATAAAATATCCGGATTTGAATAGAGGGCCTGCTGTGTTCCATTGCCGTGATGGACATCCTGCAAGAGATTGAAAAAGAAAATAAAGATTGAAATGAAAAAAATCAGAAAGTCTATGACTTTTTTTAAATCCAATTTTTTTTGGAAGAATGTCCTCGAGAAGGCCAGAATATCCTTTATAAGTCAGAAAGTCCTTGACATTTTTTTTTAAATCCACGTTTATGGGGAAGAATGTCCTCAAGAAGGTCAGAATTTCTTTGATTTTTTTTAAAATACATGTTTATGGGAAAGAATGTTTTCGAGAACATATTCACGTCTATAGGTCAGAATATCCTTGATTTTTGTTTTATCCGCGTTTATGGGAAGAATGTCCTCGAGAATATATCCACCTTTATAGGTAAGAATGTCCTTAAAATATCCACGTTTATAGGTCAAATGTCCTTGATTTTTTATCTACGTTTATAGGGAAGGATGTCCTCGAGAAAATATCGACATTTAAAGGTTAGAATGTCCTTGAATTTGTTTTAAAAATCCAAGTTTATTGGAAGAGTGTCCTTGAGAAAATATCTATGTTCATAGGTCAGAATGTCCTTGATTTTTTTTTAAATCCATTTTATGGGGAGGCATGTCATCGTGGGGAGGCATGTCCTCAGAATGTCCTTGAAAAATGCCCTTATGTCCTTAATACAATTATTTTACAAATCCACGAATATATGTCCAAGAATGTCCTGACGAATGTCCACGAATATATGTCAGACTTACCCAATCGACAACGAGAATTTTCTTAATCTCCGGCACCCGCTGTCGCACAATTTTAGCTGCTATCGCAATGGAGTTGAAGAAACAAAAACCCATGGCCAAATTCGCCTCAGCATGATGGCCAGGTGGTCGGACGACGGCAAAACCATTCTTCAAATCACCCTTGGCCGTCTTCATAGCCAAGTCAATGACACAGCCGGCAGCCATGCGGGCCGCCACTGCCGTATGATGTTCATTCCAGGTGGTGTCCAAATCGACACCCACGCCACCGCACGAAAGCCTAACAAAGCTGGCCGAGGGAGCTGCAGTTTCCAATTTCTGACGATTCGCCAATTGGCATTGATTCGACCCAAAGAGCAGAGAATGCGCCTCTGTGTGTACCGTTTGAATTTCCTCCAATGTGGCCTTGGGAGATCTTAAACGATGACATCGTTTTGCCAAATCGGTTTCATTCAAACGTGCCCATACGCTCTGCAGCCGGCCACTGTGCTCCGGATGGATGCTGTTGTTGCCACAAATGCAGGCATGTTTCAGCATCAGGTTGTCATAGGCCAGGCCAGTGGTGACCTTGTGCGGCCCACCACCGCCGGGCGGCAAATTGTTTTGGTTGACTTCATGGGGCGTTGAGGTGACGGTGGCACTGCCATATCTATGCGATAGATCGATTAGATTACGTCCATGCAAGGAATTGAGAGAGAGATTTACGGGTGGTATGTGATCGGCAGAGGACGATGTGACAATGGGTCCGGCATGGGGCACATGGGTGGCCTGGCCGGTGTCGGGTATTTGACTCGCGCCATGGGGACCCAAATGGACCAGGGGCGAGGAGAGGGTGCGCGACAGTGGCCGTATCAGCCCTTGGGCTATGGCATCGTCCATTTGCAGATTTTGCATGTACAACAGCTGGCGCTGCTGTTCCAGGTACTCCTTGTTGCGCATCAGCTTGTTCGGTTTGTTCGGTATGCAGGCGGGCGGTGGGCCGGCATAGGCCGGTGCCACCGTTGCATTGGGGAGATTTTGTGAGGTACTTGTTACCACGGTGCTGGTGAGCACCGTCTTGGGAGGTTTCTTCTTGTCGGTGAGATCCATTACTTCGGCGGCGTCTTCTTCCTCTTTGAGTAGTTGTTGAGTATCACGGACGGCACCGCTGCGCGTGAGGACAGTCTGCCGGATTTTTTGGGTGAGTAGCAAATGTTGTTCGTAGGCTTGGCGTTCAGCCTGGAAGAGAAACGGAATTCATGAGTGAACATCTCAAGGAGGAGGAGGAAAATGGAATACTTACATCACTGTTCTCGTAGTGAGTCTGGGCAATGTTGATTTGTGAGCTGCCCGTCAACATTGGGTGACCCAGGGGCAGGGGCGCTGACTGGGTGCGACCCAAGGGACGGTGACCCTGCTTATTGAGATGGGCCTGGGCAACCTGGGCATCCGTTATGGGCTGGCCATACAGTGTGCCCGAGGAGGAGGACGAGGATGGTGAGTGATGGGCCGCCACAACGGCGTGTATGCCACCGGTGGAAGCCACATGCATTAGGGCAGTTGCACAGCCAGTCGATGCAGCATGGGCCAGGGGAGGCGCCACATCTCCAATCAGTGAGGCCTGTGACGAGGACGTGGAAGTGGCCGAAGCTGAACGCACCACCGGCGATTGGGGAGGTGCCGCGGCTGCCACCACACTTGCCGGTGCCACTGAATTTGTTCCAGGTGGTATCATGGCATTGGTTTGCCTGGCAAACGCAGCGACATCCAAAGGATTATAATATGTGGGCGGTGTTGGATGATGACCACCGGCGGCAGACGGTGTTCCTCCACCACTACCACCCCCACTTACGGGTGGTATACCGGCAGCATGCTGTTGCCTTAAGGCAGCGAACATGGCACAGTTAACAGCAGCCGAGCTATGAGCATTTGGTAGATGAGGTCGTCCCAGTGAAATGTTCGGCATGGATGGTGAACTGAAGAGAGACAAATCGTTGATGCTGCTTCGTTGACCCGAATGATAGTGATGACTGCCGTCTTCGTTCTCCTCCTGGATGGGTGCATTGGTCGGAGAGCCGCGACTGTGACCAACAATACTGCCAGCGGATGCTGATGACATGCAGGAGGATGGTGGGGAATTTGGACCGGAGTCGGGAGTACTATTGCAATCTGTTGTGGCGGTGGGGGGATGAGAGAGAGGGGGAGGGGGGGGGGAAGAGAGAAAAAAAGAAGAGAATAAATATTTAATTATTTTCGGGAAAAAAATTAATTATCTGCAATAGATGATAAATGGAGGTGTATCTACTCCATTGAAGATGACCCCTGGGGTCATCTACTCTATTATAGAGTAAGGTCAAAGTCATCTACTCTGTAGTAAATGTTTAATATGGCCATCTATTCCTAGTAGATGAGAAACATGGATACCTATTCTAAAGTAGAAGACCAATAATTCATCTACTCCACAGTAGATGGTCAATATCGTCATCTACTCTACAGTAGATGGCGAATATCGACATCTACTCCAAAATAGGTGGCCAATATCGACATCTACTTCACAGAAGATGACCAATGTCGTCATCTACTCCACAGTAGACGGCCAATATCGACACCTACTCTACAGTAGATGGCCAATATCGTCATCTACTCTACAGTAGATGGCGAATATCGACATCTACTCCAAAATAGGTGGCCAATATCGACATCTACTTCACAGAAGATGACCAATGTCGTCATCTACTCCACAGTAGACGGCCAATATCGACACCTACTCTACAATAGATGACCAATATCGTCATCTACTCTACAGTAGATGACCAATATCGTCATCTACTCTACAGTAGATGACCAATATCGTCATCTACTCTACAGTAGATGACCAATATCGTCATCTACTCTACAGTATATGGCGAATATCGTCATCTACTCCACAGTAGATGACCAATATCGTCATCTACTCTACAGTTGATGACCAATATCGTCATCTACTCTACAGTAGATGGCCAATATCGTCATCTACTCTACAGTAGATGGCCAATATCGTCATCTACTCTACAGTAGATGACCAATTCGTCATCTACTCTACAGTAGATGACCAATATCGTCATCTACTCTACAGTAGATGACCAATATCGTCATCTACTCTACAGTATATGGCGAATATCGTCATCTACTCCACAGTAGATGACCAATATCGTCATCTACTCTACAGTAGATGACCAATATAGTCATCTACTCTACAGTAGATGACCAATATCGTCATCTACTATACAGTAGATGACCAATATCGTCATCTACTCTACAGTAGATGACCAATATCGTCATTTACTCTACAGTAGATGGCGAATATCGACATCTACTCCACAATAGATGACCAATATCGACATCTACTTCACAGAAGATAACCAATATCGTCATCTACTCCACAGTAGATGACCAATATAGTCATCTACCGTAATAGATGATTACTCCAGTAGCATGGGAGATCATCTATTTTTCATAGTAGCTGCCTACAGATCTTTGAGCGGACTTAATTACTAACTTAATTTTTACAACAGAGTGTTTATAGCTATGCGATTAGTATTGTCAGAGTTAATACAAAAAACAATTATTAAAAAAAAATTAAAATTTTACAACATTCAAATATTAACGGAAAAATAAATTAAAAAAAATGCAAAGCCACATAACGTTAAAAAATAACAACAACAAAAAATAGAAAAAAATTGGAAAATAAATTTAAAAAAATATTCAAAAAATATTTATATCAAACCTTTTTTTTTGGAATTTGGAAAATATAAATATTTGTATTAACTCTCTTTCTCTCTTCTGTCGTTCTCTTTTTGTCTTTAGATGAGTACATATATGGGTATGTATGTATGAATGTTCGAAATCTAAGTTCGATTTCGGTGCCTTTTCAATACTCACTTGTTATGGTTGAATTCTGTTTCTGCTGCCTTCGCTGGGCCTGCAATAGACGTTCATGGCGACGCAATCCGGCCGGTCCACTGACGCGGGCCTTACGCTCAATGACACTCTGTTTGAGGCGCATCTTTAGCAAATTTGGTTCGGATGCTGCATGGATTCAGGAGGGTGTAGGGAGTAGTATTAAGAAGAAATTTGAGTACATATAGTAGTAGATGGGGTTTAATTGTATTATATAACATTGGACTTGTAAATTGACTTGAAAATGAATAAACATTGTATATTTTTTTATTTCAATAAATTAAAAGATTATAAATTTTATCACACCGCAATGTACTGTACAAACGAAATGTTTAATAAAAGTATAATTAAATATATTTTCAAAGTAATATTTTTTTTAATATTAAAATTAAATTTAAATAACAAATTTTCATATGTACATATTATGAGGTACTGGAAAAAAAAATAAAATAAAATAGAAAGAACGATCCGGGTTACTGATATCATGTCTCTCAAACTATTGCGATCCTTTTGTATAGGGTCAAGGCTATATATAAAGCCTTAAACAAATTTTGGTGTATCAATCATACACGCTATGATTATAGTTATAATTTAAAGTTCAAAGGACTATATATGCCGAAGCATTTGTATCTTTTAAATTCGAACTTGTATTGCCCATTTGGTGCAAAATTAATTTGAAATCGGATAAAGATATATATGGGAGCTATATCCAAATCGAAACCGATTTCAATAAAATTTGGCAAAGATATTTCTGAGCTGGATTTGATGTATTTCCCTGAATATCGTTGTTACGGAGTGCATATTACGGCTGTGGGTAATAAATATGACAAATCGGATGAACAGTATATATGGGAGCTATAGCTATATCTGAACCGATCTTCATCAAATTTGACATACTAGCTTCTAGACTCAATTCGGTTGTAAGTGCCAAATTCCATCCCATTTGGATAAATATTAGACGTTTGGTGTACAATAAAAGCTAAATCGGACGAAGTTCTATATGGGAGCTATAGCTATATCTTAACCGATCTTCACCAAATTTGACATACTAGCTACTAGACTCAATTCGGACGTAAGTGCCGAATTCCATGCCATTTGGACAAATATTAGACGTTTGAGGCACAAAAAAAAGTAAATCGGACGAAGTTCTATATGGGAGCTATATCCAAATCTGAACCGATTTCGATAAAATTTAGCAAATGTATTTCTGAGCTATATTTGATATATTTCCCCAAATATTGTTGTTACAGAGTGCATATTACGGCTGCGGAGGACAAAAAATAACAAATCGGATAAACAATATATATGGGAGCTATAGCTATATCTGAACCGATTTCGATAAAATTTGGCATACTTATTTTCAGGCCTAATTTGGTTGTATGTGCAAAATTCCATACCATTCGGGATGATATTACACGTTTGGTGTACAATAAAAGGCAAATCGGACGAAGATATATACGGGAGCTATATCTAAATTTTGACCGATTATCTCCAATTTCAATAGGGTTCGTCCTTGGGCCAAACAAATGATTTGTGCAAAATTTCATCTGGATAGGGCAATAAATGCGAACTGTACTTTGTTTACAAAAATACAAGACGGATGGACGGACATGCATAAATCGACTCAGAATGTGATTCTATGCAGATCATCAAAAGGAACTATGGGTCTATCTCGTTTCCCCCCAATCACCTTGTGGTGTAGGGTATAAAAATAATGAAATATTTGGCGAATTATCTCTCATTGGTTGCCAGTTGAGTTATCAATCGATGAGACTGCTTTCGAATTCGCTTGTCTAATGGAGACACTCTCTCCGTGGAGGCAATTCTAATCCGAAATTATCAAAAGTTATTTTCAACAAAGAAGTAGAGAAAGCAGGGGGTTTTGAAATGGAGAAGAATGTCCTATTTTGAACCCGAACCCTAGTATGATATTATTGTAATTTGACACATATCCCCATATTGCAGAGGTTCTTTAAAGAATATTCTTTGAGATTCACGTTTATCAGAAGCCAGAAGGTCCTTGAAAACTGTCCTTACAAAAACATGTTTAGGGGTCGGAGTGTTTTGGGAAAAATATTCTTAAACAAAAAACCATGTTTGTAGGTCAGAAAGGACTTCGGAAAAATGTCATTTAAAAAAAATAGGCTAAACATTTTTAAATGAAAGTTTAAAAAAATCCTCTTTTTATAAAATTAGCTATTAAATGGTTCTTGACAAAAATATGAAAAAAAATCAAGGTGAAATGGTGTTTGAAACAGAAATTCTGTTAAGTCCAAAAGGTTCTTACAAACCGTCCTTAACAAGTTTAAAATTATCAGTCGATTTTGCCGACAGATGTATTAATACCGTCATCAATGTCCGCTTATTTAAATATATCTTGACTTGCGTTATGATGATTCACATTTTTGACTCTTTATGGGGAAGGTGCCAAAGGACTGGGCCAAAATTGTCTATTTCGTTGCTTCTTCATATTGGGGGAGGTATTAGAAGGAGGAGAAGGACCGATATATTTAATAGTTACATTAGATCCTAAATAGAGGGGGGGGGGGAGGTGGCAAGTTTCCTTCTCAACATTTATTGAAATTTTCGGATTAACATTGCTTCGAATCTTTGCATTTTAGGTATATAGTGCCAATATTACCGGTGACAACACTAGGATTATTTTGGTCGAAATTGTAAAACCTCAAGTGAGGGGCCCTTTTGGTACTTTTTTCAATATATGATTAAAACCTGATGATTCTTGGGGTAATCCAACGCTCTCTATAAATTTTTAAAGCTCTACAATAAATTTTGCTAAATATCTCTCAAACTATTGCGATCCTTTTGTATATGGCCAAGGCTATATATAAAGCCTTAAACAAATTTTGGCCTAAGATTCCTGATCTCTTTTGGGGTTTGATCCACAAATCGAGTACTTTCAAATTCAAATTCTGCAAACCAAACTGTCTATTCGACAGCGAAATTATAAGAAATTTTCCAGCACAAATTCGGGGAAAAAATGTTTTATTTGTTGAAAATAAAAAGGGTTTTGAAACCTTTTCATGGTACATAATAAGTTTGGACACTGGCTTTGTTCAGAGACTCACATTGAAATTTGACCCAGATCATTTCCTTCTATAAAATTTTCCCCAAAAGTGAAGTATTAAGGGAGATTTTGACTTAAATTGGAATTAGCCGTGCAAACACCTAATTTTTCATTAAATATAACAATTTTGAAAATAATTTTCTAAAAATTTCTTTTCTTCTTTTGACGCTATCTGCCTAAAATGAAATTGTATGTCACTTTCGTGAATTAACTCGGAAAAAAATATTTCCGTGTTTCTTGGCAAACATTGAGGCTAATATTTTCTTGATTTCTAAGGGATATAGAAATTTATTTTCTTTGGAGACTTATAGTAGAATTATGTGAAGAGTAATTTTGTCTCTGACGTCAGCCTTCTAAAATGATGATTTGCAACTGATTTTTGCATAAACTCACATAAAGTACGGCTTAACCCTAAAATGTGTTATTAAATATTCATGAATTTCTTGCGTTCAGGCAAGATTGATACTTTTGCTGCCCTCCATGACATGCAGTAAATTTTTATGATAAATAAAGAAGAAGACCGCTTTAAGGGTAAAAATGTCGAACAAATTGAAGTCTGGGGAAGTTGCGCCATATATTTAAATTTCTTTACGATGCAAACTTTCAAAACCCAGAATATTGAAAAATGCATCATTATAGCTGGCCTTTTCTTTCCTTTCCTCCATTCTAAGTCACAAGGTCCTTAAGAAATATCTTTTAAAAATATAGATTTATTGGTGAAAAGCTCCTTTAAAATAAACTTAAAATATGGCTGGCTGAGGGTATAAAAAGCGCGTTTTTAGGAAAAGCTGTCTGTCCGTCTGTGGAAATTACTCTAGCTTCCGAACGAAATAAAGTAGGTTGATACAATTTTACTCAAATGTATATTATGTCTGCAGGATTTTTGGTATTGAAAATGGGCCATGTAGGTCCACGGCTTCCTATAGCCCCCATATAACGGTACCTCCCAATATTCGGTATTTTGATGATTTTAGCGACATTATTTACCGGAATTGTTTCAAATTTTGCACTTGAAGTTCGTAATGGATACTAAAGCCTATGACAGAAAATTGCCTGTGCAGGTCCACATCTTCGATATGCGGTATTTTGATGATTTTAGCGACATTCTTTACCGGAATTTTTTCAATTTTGGCATTTGAAGTTCGTAATGGATACTACTGCCTATGACAGAAAATGAGCCATGTAGGTCCACGTCTTCGTATAGCCCCCATATAACGGTACCTCCCGATATTCGGTATTTTGATGATTTTAGAGATATTATTTACCGGAATTGTTTAAAACTTTGCATTTGAAGTTCCTAATGGATACTACAGCCTATGACAGAAAATGAGCTAAGTAGGTCCACGTCTTCGTATAGCCCCCATATAACGGTACCTCCCAATATTGGGTATTTTGATGATTTTAGAGACATTATTTACCGGAATTGTTTCAATTTTGGCATTTGAAGTTCGTAATGGATATTACATCCTAAGACAAAAAATTAGCCATGTAGGTCCACGTCTTCGTATAGCCCCCATATAACGGTAACCCCCGATAGTCGGTATTTTGATGATTTTAGCGACATTATTTACCGGAATTGTTTCAAATTTCGCATTTGAAGTTCGTAATGGATACTAAAGCCTATGACAGAAAATTGTAGGTGCAGGTCCACGTCTTCGTATAGCCACCATATAACAGTAACCCCCGATATTCGGTATTTTGATGATTTTAGCGACATTATGTAGCGGAATTGTTTCAAATTTTGCATTTGAAGTTCGTAATGGATACTAAAGCCTACGACGGAAAATTGTCTGTGCAGGTCCACGTTTTATAACCCCCATGGTACCTCCCTATATTCGGTATTTTGATGATTTTAGCTACATTATAAACAGATTTCTTTGAAGTTGTTTGTCAATAGCTAGTGACAAAAGTTACCTATGCATGTCCACGTCGTCGTATAGACCCTAAAATTCGGTATTTTTAAGATTTTAACAGAATTTTTAACGGATTTTATTTTTTTTTTTTGAAAATTGTTAAATTTTTTACCAAATCGTGGAGAGTATTCAGCTTTTTTTTCTTGTTTTTGTCTAGAAAGTAGAAATGTTAATAAGCTCGTTTCAATGGAAACGATTGGCAACAAAAAAGCTCGCAAGACCATGCTGAATTAGATTCGACGACATCGAAGCCAAGAGCTAGCAATCATTTGAATTTTGTTTTAAAGGATTACATGGGGAAATTTTGATTAGATTTTCATTAGCGGAAAAAAAGTTACAACAACAAAATAACATCAATTAACTCAATACAAAACGAATTTAACGATAAATTTAAAAAAATAATAACAACAACAATAAATCTATGGCAATAATGAGTGGCTATCTTCAAAAGCAATTTCCTTACCAGTTTTCCTCAGAGGAAAATCTGTTTCATATTTGAGTAACGGTGGTTGGGGAATTTTATAGGGATGAGAACTGGTAACGGCTCCGGCTGGCAGCGATTCACCCGATGAACTTTTGACAACACTTCTGTAAAACGAAACGAAAAACAATATTAGATTTCAAATCATTTTGAAAATTTCGAAAATTCAAACCTGTTGCGATAGGGTGATGTTGTTTGCATGCCATTTGGCGAGGATGCTGCCTGTTTGCGATTCAATATGAAACACTGGAGAAGGGGCAAAAAAAAATTAAATTAGTAATCGATTTTTTAAATATTTGTTTTTTTTTTTTTCAAAATTGAGACTTACATTTAGAATTTGCTTAACCTCCGGACTGGCATTTGCACTGTTCTCTTTGCGTTTTACCATGGCGGCAGCCTCACGTTCACGCTGCTCCCGTTCCCGTCGTTCGCGCTGCTGTTGTTCCTCCACGGCGGCTGTAACAATTCTCTGTTCCTGCAATTCCTGGAAAGCGCCATGGGAATGCACCGCAAACTAAATGGATGAAAATAGTAAAATTTTTAAAAAAGTTTTTATTTTTGTATTTCAATAAATATTTAGAATTTTTGGATTTGGATGAATTTAAAATGAATAGTCCTTGAAAATTATTTAGAAAGGATCTGAAGGACGTTGAAAAATATTCTCAAAAAATGCACGATTTTAGGTCAAAAGGTTCTCAATGACCTTTGGCTGTCAAGGATGACTTTTAAAAGGAATAGTCCTTGAAAATTATTTAGAAAGGATCTGAAGGACGTTGAAAAATATTCTAAAAAAATACACGATTTTAGGTCAAATGACCTTTGGCAGTCAAGGATGTATTTAAAATGAATAGTGCTTGAAAATTATTTAGAAAGGATCTGAAGGACGTTGAAAAATATTCTCAAAAAATGCACGATTTTAGGTCAAAAGGTTCTCATTGACCTTTGGCTGTCAAGGAAGAATTTAAAATGAATAGTCCTTGAAAAACATTTAGAAAGGATCACAAGGACATTGAAAAGTATTCTTAAAAAATATACGATTTGAGATCAAAAGGTTCTCAATGACCAGGATTGGTGATTTTTGAAAGATATAATTAAAGAAGCCCTTGCTTAGCTGGTCATTGAAAAAAATATATATTTTTTAATATCTATTCTTAGGAGGTCCTTACAAAAAAAAAAAAAAAATAATAATAATAATAAATAAATAAAAATAAATAAAAAATGCATAATCAAATAAATCTTAAAAAAATATATTGTTTATAAATTCACGATCAGATGATGGTCGAAAAATATATTTTTAAGGTCTAGGGCCTACGGTGAATATATTTTTAAAAAATCACAACTCTCGACGACGATTTAAAGGTCTTTTTTTAGAAATTTTCATTGAAAAAATTTGCTATTCTGAAGACCCAGAATCACAGGTCAGAAGGTTTTTTTTAAAGTTTATAAAAAAAAAAAAAAAAAACAAAAAAAAAAAACAAAAATTAAAAAAGTTCTTTAAACATTACAGGACTTAAGTTGAAAAAATTTAAAAAAAATTCCAATTAATTACCAGTGGGCTCTTCAAACTATATTCCATAAAAAATTTATGCACATTTAAAAAAATATCTCAAAAAATTAGCAATGAAGACAAAACTTTTAAAAAAGCCACAAAAATCTATGATTTATGTTTAAATACCCGTAAATACCCTCAACTTCGTTGCCAAAGAATAACGTCCTTGAAAAAGTGATCTTAAAACTGTTCCCACACAAAATCCACGAATTAGGTAAAAATGTCCTTAAACTCCAAACTCATTTTTGTTTCTAATTTCTCTCAATGTCCTTAAAAAAATATCCTCCAAAAAATTATTAATTAATTAATGGCGTTGTAGAAACCTAAAATATTCCTAAAAATCATTAATAGTCCTTTAAAAAAAAAAACGGTATTTAAAAAGTCCAGAATTAATGGTACGACAGTCTTCTAAAAAATTTTAAAATGCCCCCTCATAGCCTTTGCGATTAGAATTATAGATGATTTTTTTAATAAAAAATCAGGGATTAAATTTCCAAAACTTACATGAAATTTGTGTTCCAATTGCAATTTGTGCTGAAGTTCCAATTGCTTGGACTTTTCTTGAAATGTGTGGAATAGCATTTGTTTTTGTAATTCTTGTTTCTGTTTCAACTGCAAAAGAGAAGAAGAAAAAGGAACGAAAATTAAAAAAGAAAATCTATGAAGGGATTGATGAATGAAAAAATACAAAATTATATTTTCATTTATATTTTAATTCTTTTTTTTAAGTAATATATTTATCTTTCTTATTAAAAAATATAAAAAAAATATTATTTAAAAAGTTTTATGTCAAAAAGAACATTCGTTTATTTTTTTTTATATTTTTATTTAAATAAAAATATTTTTATTTCTATTTTAATAAGAGAAATATTTTTTGTTTTAATTTTTTTACACTCCAGACTTAAATAATCAGTTTTAATTTTTTTTATTAACTTTTAATATTTTTATTAAAAAAATATATTTATTTTTTTATAAAAAAAATATTAAATTGTTGTTATTATTTAATAATAACACAATAATTTTTATTTTTTTTTATTAATTTTTATATTTTTATTTAAAAAAAAACATTTTTTTTATAAAAAATGTATTATATTGTTATTTTTAATTTTTTGTACACTCCGGACTTAAACAATCATTTTTAACTTTTTTTTTATTAATTTTTAATATTTTTAATAAAAAAAAATATATTAAAAAAGATTATATTTCTTATAAAAATATATTAAAATAATTTATAAAAAAATATTATTTAAAAAGTTTTATGTCAATTTTTTTTATATTTTTTTTAATAAAAAAACATTTTTATTTCTATTTTAATAAGAGAAATATTTTTTTATTTTAAATTTGTTTATACTCCAGACTTAAACAATCAGTTTTAATTTTTTTATAAATTTTTATTTTTGTTTTATTAAAAAAAAATATATTTGTTTATAAAAAATATTATATTAAAAAAGGATATATTTTTTATTAAAATATATTAAAAAAATGTATAAAAAATATTATTTAGAAAGTTTTATGTCAAGAAGTACATTCGTTAAATTTTTTTATATTTTTTTTTGATAAAAAAACATTTTTATTTCTATTTTAATAAGAGAAATATTTTTTTATTTTAAATTTGTTTATACTCCAGACTTAAACAATCAGTTTTAATTTTTTTATAAATTTTTATTTTTGTTTTATTAAAAAAAATATATTTGTTTATAAAAAATATTATATTAAAAAAGGATATATTTTTTATTAAAATATATTAAAAAAATGTATAAAAATTATTATTTAGAAAGTTTTATGTCAAGAAGTACATTGTTTTAATTATATATATATATATATATATATATATATATATTAATTGAAACAATTTTATTTCTATTTTAAAAAAATTTATTAGATTTTTTTAAAATATATTTATTCTTCAGACATAGACAATAATTTTTTTTATTAATTTTTATTTTTTTTATCAAAAAAATATATATTTTTTAGAACAGTGTTGGCTCTTTGTTCGGGATACCATAGTATTTCGTTGTTGCAAAATGGTCAGGCTTAATTTTTTTTATAAAAAAAAATATATTAAAAAAGTTAACTGAATTTTTTGTTAATTTTTTTATACTCCAGACTTAAACAATCATTTTAATTTTTTTTATTTATTTTTAATATTTTTTTTAAAAAAAATTCAATTTTTTTTATTTATTTTTAATATTTTTATTAAAAAATTAAAAATGATTGTTTAAGTCTGGAGTATAAAAAATTACAAAAAATTGTATTAATTATTAATTTTTTTAATATAATTTTTTATAAAAAATATTTATATATAAACAATTATTCTTCAGACTTAAACAATAATTTTAAATTTTTTTTATTAATTTTTATTATTTTTATTTTTTGTTAATATATTTTTTTAGAACAGTGTTGGCTTGGGATACCATAGCATTTTGTTGTTGCAAAATGGTCAGGCTTAATTTTTTTTATAAAAAAAATTATTTAAAAAAGTTAACTGAATTTTTTTTTAACTCCAGATTTAAACAATCATTTTAAATTTTTTTTATTAATTTTTAATATTTTTATTAAAAAAATAAAAATGAAGTCTGGAGTATAAAAAATCAAAAAATTTTTAATTAATTTTTTAATATAATTTTTTATAAAAAATATTTATATATAAACAATTGTCATCGAATCTATTGTCTTCCTTTGGCTACCAGCCAGGTATTGTTTCCATTTTTTTTTCCTAAAAAAAGCAAATTTTGTCTAATAAATTTTACGTTAATACAATTAAATAAATTTTAGATGCCAGGCAGACAGGCAAATAATAAACAATTCCCCCCTCTCTCCCCCACCGCTTTTTAATAAAAAAATATATAAATATTTATAAATTTATTCAACAGTTGGTTGGGTTGGCTGTTTGTTCATCTTCAAGATACCATTTGTTTGAATCATGTGACCTCCTGACTGACTGACAGTCTGACTGCCTATGTCGTCGCATTTGCCATATGAATTTTTTTCCCGAATGGTTCCAAATTGTCTCATAAAACATTTGTTAATTATGAGTCAAAAAATTAAAAAAATATATAGAAATAAAAATAAATTTAAATATTAAATGTTATAATTTTTAACAATAAAAACATAATGACTTTATAATCCGTCGGGATGATTTTTTTAGTCATCTTAGTCACATATTTTCTAAGCACATACAGGGTGAGATGAAAAAAACTGCAACAAAGTCAAACGCCATAATTTCTATTTTTTTTTTAATTTCTTTGAATGAAAAAAAAAAATGTCGGAAATAGCATCACAATTTAGAATAAGTTTAGATTTGTCCGAATTGGTCACCTTTGGCACGAATTATGGCCTTCAAACGGCCAATGAAACCGTCACACGCTACCCGAATGTTGCTCTGCAGTATTTTGACCCATTCCCGGCGAAGCGCTTGCTTTGGTGGTCATTGTGCGCTGGAAATGAAGCGAGGAACCTCACTTTGTAACCATTCATGGGTGGCGCGTGCTGAATGCGTTGGTGCTGGGTCCTTACCAAAGATCATAGGAGATGTATTCAAGGACATTTGGAACAAAAACCGTGGGCCTTTAACATTTTTTAAAGGCACTTTAGATCAATTATCCTGGATTTTTTGAATAAATTCTTAAAATCGAAAATTTCAAGAAACTAGGACCAAGAATTGCAGATTTTTTGTCAGGAAATTTAGGACCAAAAAATCCTAGATTCTTTACAGATTTTTTTAAGGTTTAGTGGAGGATTTTTTACGACTTATCTTGGACCAATAGTCAATTTTGTAAGAATTTCAAATTCAAAGACTTTTAAAATATTAATCCTGTATTTTTAAAGAAAACTATTTAAGGAGCATTTAAATAATAATCTTGGATTTTTTTTTGTGAGAAAAATTATTTGAGAACCAATAATTTTGGATTCTTTAAGACTTTTTTCAGTAATCGTGAATTTCGGGAGGTATCGTTACATACAATATTTCGATACCGGAGCAAGAACCCATAATGACCAACAAATTCCAATTTTTAGAAAAATCTGCCATATATTGGTCTATATGTCCTTAGAAAAAAATATTTAAAAACCCCCATTTATTGGTCTGTAGGTCTTTGGAAAAAATTATTTAAAAAATCGATGGTTATTGGTCTTTGGAAAAAAATCTTTAAAAAATCCAGGTTTATTGGTATATGGGTCCTTGAAAAATAATCTTTAAAAATCTACGTTTATTCGTCTACAGGTCCTTGGAAAAAGTTATTTAAAAAAATCCCCATTTATTGGTCTACAGGTCCTTGGAAAAAAAATTATTTAAAAAATCTACGTTTATTGGTCTAAAGTTCCTTGGAAACAATTATTTAAAAAATCCACGTTTATTGGTCTATGGGCCCTTGAAAAAAATCTTTATAAAATACACTTATATTAATCGATAGGTCCTTGGAAAAAATTATTTCAAAAAATCCATGTTTATTGGTCTATAGATGCTTGGAACAAATGGTTTCAAAAATCCTCATTTATTGGTCTGTAGGTCCTTGGAAAATTTTTTTAAATAAATCTACGTTTATAGAAGAAATATTCTACCTAAGATTGGAAGGTCACCCTTTAAGAAAATAGATTTAAAAAAGCCCTTAAAAAATTCAACCTATGATTTAATATTCCTCGAAGAATATTTTTAAACAATCTACATTTTATTGGTCCTTAGAAAAATATTCTTTAAAAAATTCTATAGGTCCTTGAAAAATTTCTTAGGAAAATCCACATCTATCGGCCTATAGACCGATTGGAATAAAATTCTTTAAAAATACTGGATTATTGGTCTGTAGGTCTTTGGAAAAATCATTTAAAAATCCACGTTTATTGGTCATAGGTCCTTAGAATTTAAAAAAAAGATCCTCGTTTATTGGTCTATAGGTGCCTGGAAAAAAAATTCTTTAAAAAATCTAGGTTTATTGATCTATAGGTCCTTGGAAACAATTCCTTAAAAAAGTCCATGTTAATTGGTCTATAAGTCCTAGGAGAATTTTTTTTTTTAAAAATCCAGGTTTAATGGTCTATACGTCCTTAGAAAAAATTCTTTAAAAAATCCAGGTTTAATGGTCTATAGGTCCTTGGAAACAATTATTTAAAAAGTCTCCATTTATAGGTCTATAGATCCTTGGGCAAAAATTCTTTAAAAAACCAGGTTTAATGGTCTATAAGTCCTTGGAAAAAATTCTTAGAAAAATCCACGTTTATTGGTCTATAGGTCCTTGGAGAAATTTCTTTAAAAAATCCAGGTTTAATGGTCTATAGGTCCTTGGAAAAAATTCTTTAAAAAATCCAGGTTTAATGGTCTATAGGTCCTTGGAAAAAATTCTTTGAAAAATCCAGGTTTATTGGTCTATAGGTCCTTGGGAAAAAATTCTTTAAAAAATCCACGTTTATTGGTCTATAGGTACTTGGAAACAATTATTTAAAAAGTCTCCATTTATAGGTTTTTAGGTCCTTGGAAAAAATTATTTAAAAAATCCATGTTTATTGGTCTACAGATTCTTGGAAAAAATTCTTTAAAAAATGCACGTTTATTGGGATATAGGACCTTGGAAAAAAATTATTTTAAAAGTCCTAGATTATTGGTCGATACGTCCTTGAAA